TGTCCGATTCGGTCAACCAATTTTGGGTACTTCGACCAAAGTCGATAGGGAAAGTCTGGGCAGTTTTAATTATTTCTATAATCAATACAAAAACTAAGGTGAAATTGAAGAAAATGGAATACCTTTTATATAGAAATTTCCTCCCAGGATTCTCCTCAAGTTCTCCACATAATATCTCATAATTTAAGTTTTATAACTCTATTTTTAGATATTTTAATTATTTTTAGGCAAATCCACACCCGTATCCATACATGGATCCATATCCCTAATCTTAAAAATTAGATCATGAAGGATCCGACCTCTAGATCCGCACTTGTATTGGACACCCGCACCCGATTCCAAGCAACTTAGCTTTCTCTATCCCTTTGTATGTACTAATTAAAATGGAATGAATTTTTATGTTGAGAGTTACGGCGATCACCTTACTTCGCATCTTTTGACCATGGCTGTGTATCCTTAATACACACAGCATGTTGAGGAAACTCTGATGGAATTAAGTTGTAGCATTGTAGGTGGTGAAATAGAGAATTCTTTAGGATTTTGAATATTAGTGTTGGTGAGAATCATCCTAAACCTTAAGGGTATAGCATGGACGTTGCCAGGCAAGATAACAGAGGCTCTTAGCAGCAGGGAGGGAACATGTTCACATGCAAAAGATAGGAGTAGATGGAGAATTGTCCCAGCTTGTATCTGGTGGACAATCTGGAAGGACAGGAATTCCTGATGTTTTGAGATCTTAGAGAATGATATGAAGAAGATCAAGTTGAACTTCATCTTACTGCTATGTTTTTGGTGTAATCAAATTTCATAATGATAATGTGTCTATCATAGATGTTCTGGATCCATTATAGCTAGAGAGGGAAGACACTAGAGCTCTATTGTAATATGGTTTCAGTACTACCCAAGTACTGTTTTGATCCCTGATATGATACAAAGTTACTGATTTCAAAAAAAATAAATGATGAAACAATTTTGGTTACCAACAACAAACCCAGTGTAGTCCCATAGGCGTGTTATTAGGGAGGGAAGAGTTTATCCAGACCAACCGTCCCATCACCTTGTCGTAAGGGTGAACATTCAGTAATCCCAAAGTTTGGATTCAGTAATTCGGTAATCGGTTATTGAAAGTAGATACCAAATACCAAACTTCTTAGTTCAGTCTGGTCTGGTAAATCAAACTTTGGTTCAGTGAGTTTTGGTACAATAATTCGGTAATACTGACATGACCTTCATGTCAGTTCATCCAAATATCATCTTCCAATCTTAGCAATGGAGCCAACAAAATTAATAAACAAACAACTTTCAACTCAACAAATGATCACTAAAATATGATGAAGCTCAATGGAATCAATAATCAAGAGAATTTGTGAACATTCAACCATCTACAACACTTAACAGTACCAAACCCAATCAATCGAAAGTCAATATCAGATTAAGCACAAACAATTCCAAATATATGGTATATATCGATACTAATGTTTCATACCGTACCGAACTCTAATATCATAATTCTTAAATTTCTCTTGAAAATCCTACCGAATTATCAAAATTCTCAATTCAGTTGAGTAATTCGGTGATTTATGCACAACCCTTCTTCGGTTAAGAAAATCTAGTGCCTCAAATATGCAAATCACTCTTAAAACACACTATGAACATGTTGGAACACTCAAAACACCAATCTGAGTTCGTCTCACATATTTGACCATGGCCAACTCTTAATTCCTGCTTGATTTGGTGTATATTTTAGCATATCTCTGATTAGTTTACATTTGCTTTAATGAATCTAGTGAACGATGATAGACTAGAGTCATGTCCTCGGGCAAGGGAGAAAGGCAGGGGTGGTAATTGGGTTAAGAGAGTTTCTAGGCTGAGAGTAGGGTCTTGGAACATAGGGACATTGATGAGGACGTCAATAGAATTAGTGAAGATTCTCAAGAAGAGGAAGATTAATATAACTTGTGTCCAGATTACCAAATGGGTAGGAACTAAGGCTCGAGATATGAATGGGTTTAAATTGTTGTACTTAGGAGTCTCGCAGACCAGGAATAGAGTAGACAATCTAGTAGATACAAATCTAAGGGAGCAAGTGGTAAGACATTAGGATGATCAACGATAGGATGATGTCGATTAAACTAGTTGTTGGAGGGCTTACTTTGAACATTATTAGTGCATACACACTAAAAGCAGACTTGGATGAGGAGGTTAAGAAGCGTTTTTGGGAGGATTTAGATGAGGTTGTGAGAGGTATCCACACACTGAGAAGCTATTCATAGGAGGAGATTTTAGTAGCCACATCGAGACAACTCCAAAGGGCTATGATGATGTGCATGAAGGTTCTGCTTTTGGGGATAGAAACGAAGAAGAAGCCTCACTTTTGAATTTTGCAAAAGCTTTTTAATTGGAGGTAGCTAACTCGAGTTTCCCTGAAGGACGAACACTTGGTGACATTCCGGAGCACATTGGCTAAGACTCAAATAGACTGCATACTCCTTAGGAAGGGTGATAGATGTCTTTGTAAGGAATGCCATCCGGAGTGAGAATCATACAATCCAACATAAGCTCTTGGCTATGGATTTGAACCCACCACCCCCCAACCAAAAAATTGATTCTGAACTTCGTTTGTGAAGGAACTGAACTTTGACGGCCAACCCTTTTTTATGTGCCGCTTTACCCTAAAAGGAAAATGAGCTTTGCTCCTTTGGTGCTAGGCGCTCCTGTGGTTCGCGAGTAGGAGAAAGGATGTTGCATTTGGCGCGCGATGATAAAGAGAGTCTTCGTCTATGCATGAATTGCAACAAAAAATAAATGATAAAATAAAGCTGAAACAGAGGTATAGTGGGGGAGAGGTGAGGCCACAAGGGTGGATGGTGTGTACGGGATGTCGGTGAAATGAAAATTGTCAAACATGATTGCAGGGGATGGATGATTAAGTTGTTTTCTTCAGAAAACAGAGTAGCTTTGCACTATAATGGGTAGATGATGTTAATTGAAGAATGTCTTGTGCTGATGCAGTGCTACATTGCTAATTGATTCAAAGTGTTGGCTAAAGCCTAAGGGATTTGTTTATTTATCTTCAACGTTTTGTGGCAGTGCCTTGTTTTGCCCTCTTTGGGCTATAAGCCACTTGTAATATTTCATGACGTGTTGGAAATGAATTTTAAATGTATGTTTGATTGTAAAAGAAGCCCTACTATTATTTCATGACGTGGTAGAATATGATTTTTTTGTAAGGTGATGGGAAACTGATGCTTTGTGACATCAAATTCATTTGAAGAGAATATGACTTTCCTCCATTATTTATCGCAGAAAATCCGGAATCCAGTCTATCTGTTCCAAGGTATCGTATTACGCAGAGGTGCGAAAGGAACTGGGATGAAATCAATAGAATTAGCACTTTCCATGTGCGACATTGTTGACATTTATGGTTTCACTGTTGATCCTGGTTACACAGAATGGTAATGTTCTATTATGCTCGTCTTCTCCATTGTTATTTCAGGTTTTACTAGACGACAATATAAATGCACATTTGAAAAACTCGGTATCAGGTTTTCTATTTGCAGCTCTATCCAATGTTGAAATATTACCATCTTTCTGGAATATTTGACACTTCCACTTGAATGCCATCTTCTACTTTACCTTTTCTTAACTTTTGCATGCAATTTCTTACATCTAACGACCATTAAACATTATCTCTGTGTGGTTATTGGGTAACTTTGTTGTATAGGACTCGATACTTTTCTACACCAAGGAAAGGGCACAACCCACTCCAAGGAAGGGCTTATTATCAACTCTTAGAATGCCTTGGAGTAAGGACACTGGATTAATGCAGTTAAAGTTCATTTTTCAATTTGTTCATTTTTTTGTTTGATGCTCTCGCTAAGAAATCATATTTTAGGTCATACGAATCCATTCTCCTATGCGAGCAAAGAGAAAGCAAGACTGGTCTGATGTGCCTAGTCGAGAAATGATAAACAATGCTCACAGAGCTGCATTGCGTTTGAAAAAGAAGCAAGCTGGGGAAGTGGGAGGATTGGGACAATTTGTGAACTGTAAAGTATGGGGCAAATCAGGTCCCTATGGCACTGGGCCTGTATCTGGTTCCACAGATATGACAGATACCAGGAAGGATTCAAATTACAATCGATGGGAAATCATGCCTTTTGAGAGCTTGAGGAAGGAAGCACGGAAGCACTATATGCAGATGGAAGGTGTGTCTTTGTACAAGATGGATGGGAATAAGCTGGATGATCTAGTCTGCGTGAAACACCCCCTGAAATCCGAGGCATGAAACAATGGCTTGATATATGGATCCATTTGAGTTGAACCTAATTAATATTTTACATGCACAAATACAAGGGAACCAAGTGATTTGTGTTCAACACATCAAGCAGCTTCCTCTTGGAGTGTAAGCTAGTGACAGCCACCACAGTGAACTCAGATCTTCTTTGGAAGTGCACTACAAAATTGTCTGAAAGTTGCATATACTTGATGATCTGAATTACTGGAGGAATGAGGAAAGAAGGGACCAATATTCTTGAGATGTCCTTGACTTTTCTTAAATTCAGTAATTTTGCAAGTGAAGAAATCTCATGCTCCATATTTACCTGATTTTGTTATAGAACTTTTCACAGCTAGTATACCTCTGTTGCTTTTATTCTTCTCCGTGTGAATTTGTGATTTTAAACTGTCATATCCAGTATAATCAAAAGGAATAGGCAAATAGTGCAAGGGCAAACACCATAAACCCGCAAAGACTGTCCTGCATAGCACAATTTATTGTTTTTACCCCGCTCTTCTTTTGCTTGTAACTATACATTTTATGTAGTGAGAAAACCATTTTTATTTTTCATTGATGAATAAAAGTGATTTATGTCAATTTTAATAGAATAACAATTTCATGAACGGGTACTGCAAAGTATAACAAGAACAATTTTTTGATGAAAAAAGTGATTCATGTCAATTTTAATAGAATAACAATTTCATGAATGGGTACTGCAAAGTATAACAAGAACAATTTTTTGTAATCAGAATTCAAAACTACAGTTAGGAACAAATACTCTATAACCCGCTCCGCCTGCCATCCCCAAATGCAATGAATTCTAATACTAAATATAACTAATAATAAAATAAAATGCATAGTATGCAGCATAATGGATGGAACAAGCCAAATTCCAGAAACATAATGAAAAAGAATACATCTATGAGGTCGACTTGTTGTTGTTTCCACGGTTAAGAAGATCGTCAGAAACAACCTTGAGAAGCTTCCTCTGCTTAGATTTGGCAATCTTTTTGAGGGTTTTTGGATTGGTGATCTTCTGAACCTTGGTGCCAGACTTGAGAATGTTTTCCTGCTTCTTTTTCTCTCTTTCCTCCCTCTGCTTCCGCTTCTCCACCTTGCTCTGTCTTATCTCTTCCTTGAGCTCATTGATTCTCTCCTTATACGCCTTCTTTATCTCCTTCTCTTTTATCCTCTGCTCCAATGACTTCCCCTTCACGCTCACCTTCGCTGCCGATGATCTGTGTTTACGCGGCTGTTTCCAATTCCTTCCCGATACCCTCCCTGCAATCACCCCGTCGTATGTCGGCCTTCCCAGTACAGGTTTGTTTGGATCCTCCTCGGATGGAACCGCCTGTCTCTTCCTTGGAATCTCCTCCACTTCCATAGCCGCCGCTTCTCCATCTTCTATACCATTACCTTGCTCTTTCTCTGCTCTCTTTCGTTTGTACGTTTTTCCTCCGAATCCTTCGTCCAGGCACCGAAAATCCACAGTACACGCCATTGTTACTTTCCCACTACTTCCTCTCGGTCTTATTTATATCACGCAACGCAAACCCTAATACTTTTCCTCTTCTTCTTTTTCCAGCATTTCACCTTTTTGGGCCGGGCCAAATCTAACCGACTCTTTGTTTCGGGTATTTAAAATATAGCCACGCATTTAGCTAATCTTTAATGCAAAATAAAATTGGATGGACTAGAATGGGAAGCCATTGACAAAATAGCCACTTTCTGAACCGCCTAAATTAAGTAATCAACATTTCAAAACTTTTCAAAATCGCAATATAGGTGAAGTCTTTTTTGTTTTCTACAAGTATTTGGATATATCTTTGCATGATTTGTTATGTTTTACTACAACTATTAGGAGCCTCGATCTAAGGTTTTTGCACAATCTAGTCAAGACTAGAACCAAGAAAAAATCAAGATATATTATATTTAATTTTATGTTATAATTATATTGATTACTTTGTTCAATTTTCATATTATATGAACATAAACTTAAAATTTATAAGAACTAATTGTTTAAGCTTTTATGTATAAACTAAACTTTATACATTACAATATTTAGTACTATATAAGTAAAGCACGCTTAGACTAATACATGATATATTTAAACTTTAAATCTATATTAAAATTAAATAAATAATTACTCTATAGTAAGTAATATATGGTTAATAGTGTACAACTCATTGTTAATAATATATTATTTCAATAATTTTTTACCTTGATTTTTGATCGTGATAATTGAGAGGAAGGGATTTTTGTCATGTTGGACTGCCTAGGTGAACTGTCATGTCAGTACATATGATAAATATGACGTTTTAAGAGTATTTGTGGTTCAAAATATAGACGGCAAGGGTGGTTTTGATCCCAAACATGGTTAAAAATTATATATAAGCTATTTTGAATAGTTCAATGATAATTTTAACTCTTTTTGGTATTAAAAATAAGAGTAAAGTTTGTGGACATTATAACTTTTAATAGAAATAGAAAAGGAGGAGAGTAGAAAAGGAGTGTAAAGGGAGCTAGTAGTAATTCCCTAATAATAATGATAAGGGAGCCGATGGTTGCGCATTTACCCATGGGATGAGAATGGGACTCTCTATTCTATTCTTCTTTTGTTAAAAGAAAAAAGGTCCTCAGATCTCTCTCTCTCTTCCTGTTCCTGAACAACATTACTTCCTACTTCCCCAAAGCTTGAAGCTTTTTTTTTAAACCCCCAATCCGCATACATATTAACCGTAGATCCGAACGATCCAGACTGTACAATGGGCGCTTCTCAGTCCGTAGAACTACCATCTGATGAAGAAGACGAACAGGATGAAGAAGAAGATGCGGAGCACGAAAACGATACGCCAGATGAGAGACACCGATTAGTTGGTGACGACTCTCTGCTCAAGAAGGTTCTCGAACAAGAGCCTGAGATGTTACCTTGCCACGCCTCCGCATCCCCTTTATCCCCTCAACTATCCTCTTTCGGCACCCCGCGTTTGGGACCTTCTATCAAGGTCTGGGACCCTTATAATGTTCTTGCTCCACCACCCTCAATTCCTCATTTCCACCGAACATTCTCCTCTGATTCTGTCGATGACGATAGGACCCTCACTGACCTATATTTAATTAGTAATGGCGAATGTCATATGAATTTAAGACCTGATTTGATTGCCGGCCGATCCCCAGAGGCTGCACTTACACCTAATGGCAAGCGCCAAGCAAGAGCTTTGGCTGTTTTTCTAAAGTCTCAAGGGATTCGTTTCAATTCTGTCTATACATCTCCCTTGGATCGGGCACGAGCTACTGCCCTCTCTGTTTGTCAGGTATACTATTAAGCTCAAAATCAAATCCATTTGCTTCCCACATCTATCTTTGTAGATGGGTGTCCCTCGGATCCTTCAGGATACAATGACATTTATGGAGGACTCCGAGTATCAGCTTTGCAGGGGGAGATTTCTTCATTTTTAGGCAGCTGCATGTTTCCTCTGGTACTAGTGAGGTTTCTGTTTTATACTTCTCTGGTGATTGTGTATAGTGACTTCTGCATTTTTGCCCTGAAAGAAACCATTGGATTTCTTAGCTGCTCTAGGTTCAGGATTTATATGGCTGTCAGAGTAGTTTTGGTTTTGCAAGTTTGTAGTCTTTGGTTGTCTAGCACCCTATGACAGACGTTGCAATTGGAATTTATGTTATACTCCTATTTAGTTCAAATAAAGTTGGGTCCAAAACAAAATCTTAAAGGTGACTTTTGTTTTCAGATGTTCTAGGATTAACAATTAGACCAACTTTTGAAGTACTTTTGGGATAAAAGTTGGTCCAATTCCTGTAGTATAAATAATAAGTTTCATAGTCGAGGAAATCAGATATCATTTAGATCAGGAAAGGGAAACTAATCGAATCCTTCTGGGATAGGTAAGAGTATACCATATGATCATGCTCTATTACATTTCCACGCGGTGCTTGCAAAATATCAGTCTTAATAATGTATCAATGAAAGAGACAGCAATATTAGTACTTTCTTTGTCTATTATGTAATGTTTTCAGCAAGATTAGTACTGCTAAGAAAAGTTACATATTCTGCATTTTAGCAAGGCATAATTGGCTTCTCAGCATATTTGATGTGTCAATAACATTCTTGCTGTCTTGACCACTAGCAAATTCAAACACTCTGTTACTGCCTTTCAGAGCAGCCAAGTCACAGTTTAACATCACATCCCCGAATTATACAAGGAACAACTTCGAGCAATAAGAGCTTGCTTCCTCTTGTCTCTAGTTATGTCTTAAAGACTTTCCCATTCTTAGTGATGCATTCTATGATATTCTGTATGGGGATTTTGACTGTAAGTAGAACAACTGGATTGACAACGTTGAAGAGATTTAGAGTAACATGTTATTTGCATGTTGTGTTAAGGACTTATGAATTTGCTAATGAATGGATCTCTGTTGACTGTGCAGGAAATAAACTTTTCAGAGGAACGGATACAATCCTCTGATGCTCTACTGGAAATGAGTCAGGGGCATTGGGAGGGATGCCACCGCTCGGATATTTTTACACCTGAAACAACTAGCCTAATGGAAAAGTTCCAGCCTGATTTTTCAGCACCATCTGGAGAGTCACTGAGGCAGGTGGAATTTCGGATGGTACAATTCCTAAATGGAACTGTTATGACATTGCCTGACAAATTCAGATCTGATTTCTCTCCACCTGATCAGAGTGAGAACCAGGGCTTCTCAAACCGTGGTTCTCATCCACTTGTCAATTCAGTTCATGACCGAGATGGGCTGCCCTCTTTCTCGTCATCCCATTGGGATTTGCACCACAGGAATCGACAAGGACTTTCGAGGAAGAAGTCTGGAAAGAGTAGGCTTCAGATCGTGACAACTACTGGGGATCATGAGGCTGATGACGAGATGTCACCACGAGAACCCATTAATCCTAACTCCATCCGAGATTTAAATGTGCAAATCAGTACTAATGTTTCTCAATGCATTGGTATTTTCACGCATTCAATCCCAATAAAGTGTCTTCTTACTGGCCTTCTTGGCTGCAGTTCAATGATGTCAAGTAAGATATGCATAGATGATTCTTCAGTGACAGTGCTACAACATTCCTGGAAAATGGGATGGCAGATCAAGAGAATGAACGATACTGCACATCTTAGGCTTTTCTAGTAAATTATTCCATTCAATAGCTGAGATCACTGAGAAATTTTCAAGAATTCACGGGATGTGTATTCTACAATTAGATTCAGATCTCGGGGGGTTATACATTCTCAATTTCTTTTCCTACTTGTACAATTGCATGCTGATACTGAATTGGAGAACCACGGCTGTGGATTATTATTTCAGTTTGTAGAATTTTAAATTTTTGATATTGTAGGGCACTTGTGTTGTGGGTTTATTATTACTAGAAAAAAAAGAAAAAAAGAAGCTGACTTTGGTCGCACTTTCTTTTCCTATTTACTTACTAGTAATGGCTTTTTAAAGGTTGGGAGAGATATCACTAAAATCTGGGCCTGCCCGTGAATGAATGAATGAAGAAGACTAATTTGGGTTCACTCTCCTACTTCTCTACAAATCCCAACGTCGCCACCTTCTTCAATAGATACTTAGACAAATCTGATGTGTTCTCGTGGAACTCTATCATTGCGGACTTGGCTCGGAGCGGTGACGCCGTCGAAGCCCTTCGAGCTTTCTCTTCCATGCGAAAGCTCTCTCTCAAACCTAACCGTTCTACCTTCCCCTGCGCCGTCAAATCCTGTTCCTCCCTTTTCGATCTTACTTCCGGTAAGCAGACCCACCAACAAGCTCTCATCTTTGGTTATGACACCGACCTTTTTGTATCCTCCGCCCTCATTGATATGTACTCCAAATGTGGCCAACTTGCTGATGCAAGAAAGCTGTTTGATCAAATTCCTCAAAAGAATGTTGTTTCATGGACCTCCATGATAACTGGCTACGTCCAAAATGACCTCCCTCATGAAGCAATCTTGCTTTTCAAAGAGATATTGGCAGCTCAGGCAGGAGAAGTAATTTTTCTTGACTCAGTTGCCATGGTTTCCGTGCTCTCCGCTTGTTCTCGTCTTTCAGGGAAGACCCTTACCCAAGGGCTCCATGGCTTTGTCACCAAAAGGGGATTCAATGAAGATGTGGGAGTTGGTAATACATTCATTGATGCCTACGCTAAATGTGGTGAGGTTGATTTGTCTCGGAAGATGTTCGACATTATGCCTGACAAGGACATCATTTCATGGAATTCTATGATTGCAGTTTATGCCCAGCACGGACTTTCAGCTCAGGCAATGGAAATTTTTCGTTCCCTGGCATGGGATAGAGAGGTTGACTACAATGCTGTCACCTTGTCAGCTTTGCTGTTGGCTTGTGCTCATTCAGGAGCTCTTCAGGCTGGCAAGTGCATACATGATCAGGTACTTCAAGGACTAATCACTTTCACAAATGCTGCATTCTTTCTGACTCCCTATTTTCAACTGTATTGATGTTTCCAGTTGTATAATTGACTTTGGTCTCTTTAGGTTATAAAGATGAACCTAGAGGATAACGTATATGTGAGCACATCCATGATTGACATGTACTGCAAATGTGGGAGATTAAGGATGGCAAGGAATGCCTTCAATAGAATGAAGGAAAAGAATGTGAAATCATGGTCTGCCTTGATTGCAGGTTATGGAATGCACGGGAGAGCTAAGGAAGCCCTTCAAGTATTTTACGAGATGAACTCAGCTGGGGTAAAACCAAACTACATTACTTTTGTCTCTGTCCTAGCAGCTTGTAGCCACGCTGGGTTGCTGGATGAAGGATGGTATTGGTTTAAGGCTATGGAACCTAGATTTTGCATACAACCAGGAGTGGAGCATTATGCTTGTATGGTTGATCTTCTTGGACGTGCTGGTTTCCTTACCAAGGCATATAATTTGCTAAAAGAAATGAAGGTGACGCCTGACTTTGTCATTTGGGGTTCTCTTCTAGCTGCATGCAGGATGCACAAGAATGTCGAGCTTGGGGAGATTTCTGCTAGTAACTTGTTTGAGTTAGACCCAACAAACTCTGGGTATTATGTTTTGCTCTCAAACATATATGCCGATGCTGGAAGGTGGGAAGATGTAGAGAAGATGAGGATACTTATGAAAAATCGTGGATTAAGTAAACCTCCTGGGTTCAGCCTGCTTGAACTCAAAGGCAGGGTTCATGTATTTCTGGTTGGTGATAGAGAACACCCGCAACATGAGAAGGTTTATGCTTATTTGGAAGAGTTATCTGTAAAGCTGCAGATGGCTGGGTATGTACCCAACATGACATCTGATCTTCATGATGTTGAGGATGAAGAGAAAGGACTGACATTGCGAGTTCATAGTGAGAAGCTTGCTGTTGCTTTTGGGGTCATGAATTCTGTCCCTGGTAGTACCATTCAGGTGATTAAGAATCTAAGGATATGCGGAGACTGTCATACAACAATTAAGCTAATCTCCAAGATTGTTAATAGGGAAATTGTAGTCAGAGATGCAAAGAGATTTCACCATTTCAAGGATGGCTCATGCTCATGTGGGGACTATTGGTGATTGAGCGAAAATTGTGGTCTTCACCTACTAATCGACTTACATGAGTTGTCATATGATGAGCATGGTGGTGCATAATTTGATAGAGATTTGCATGGAATATGATTTTCTTCAATCTCAAACTAGTCTATGTTTATGCTGGTCTTATAAAGGATATTGGTACCAAACAATATTCCCCGGTTGTGTGGTATGTGTCAAGCAAGAGCAAAAGAGAGAAATCGGATCAGTAAGTAGAATTTGGAACTTTTCTTCTCTTCTGTGAATAAAAATGGCCTGCCCTTTTATCCACTGCAGTCTGCAGTGAATCTTGTTTGGTTGGTTGAGACGAGTATTGTGTCATTTGGGCATTGCAGGGTTGAATGGCAGCAATACCTGACATGAGCATCAATTTGGTGATCGTTTTGAGTATTTTAGCTCGTTGTTTACCGGTTTGTTACCTATCTATTTTGTAGTGTATTGTTAGTTTAAATATAATTTGTTTTGATTGTATCATAGGTGAAATCATGTTAGTTAAGAACAAATTGTTGATTGATTTGGTGTGATCACATTACTGCCTTATTTTCTTTTACTAGTTTTTGAGAACGTGTTGTACATTTGTCCCTCATAATTACTACAAGATTTTTATATATTTTTTAAAAATTGAACTTCATAATAGAAAATATACGTGTATTGCACGCTACTTAGTATAAACAATGTTAATGATTTAAATACATTTACAATATGTATAAATAGTCATTCATAAAATTAATTAATCAAAAGAGAAGAATGTAACACCAAATTAAATCTTAACATCAAATGGACAATCTGACAATCATATCAAAACTATTTTAAGAAATTGTAAATTTCACATGAGTTATTAGTTGTGAAGATCTCACCTAATGTTTGAAGAGAATATATAAAAACTTATCAATATCCATTACATTATTATAGCATCACAATAAATTATACAACTTCTGATGTACATTATGTTCATCCTACAAATATTCGAAAATAAGATGAAATAGAGTAGACTAAAAACAATAAAATAGCTAATGAATGGAGGAACTTCCCAATAACTAACAAAAGCATAAATAGATTTACCGCTTTTTAATTGCATATGTGATAAGCAATTACATTCATCAGCAAGCATCCATCAACAATTATACATTAGAATAACTGTATGCATTAACATAAGGTGACTGTGATGAGCAATGTAATTACATACACCAATAATCATCCATCAACAATTATACATTAGAATAACTGTATGCATTAACATAAGGTGACTGTGATGAGCAATGTAATTACATACACCAATAATCATCCATCAACAATTATACATTGGAATAACTAAGTGTATACATTAATATATAATTTTGAAAACAATGTTTTGGTATGTATAACAGTCAAGAATTATAAAAGTCATTTAAAAATTGATGATATATGTACATAACATCTATGAGAATTAGATTGGTTAAAGTTGGGATATGTAAAGTTTCTGACTAAAATCTAAATATGTGTACCATATTAAGATGTATGGTAATTCAAAGGACATTTTTGTCCTTTATTCTTAAAGAATATTTCAGTTTTTAAAGGATATAATTTACTGCCTTTTATTGTTACGAAACACTTTCATCTACCAAACTCCATTTTAGAATGAAAACAAATTAAATATTTCGTGAATTAATTCTATCTAGAAATATATTGGATTAATACCATAAAATTATTATTTAATATTTTATTAATTAGTTTTTTAATAATATTTAAATTTAGTAAAGGGGTAAAATCGTAATCGAACTTTGAAGTTAAGATCTTCCAACTTAAAATAATATAATATAATATATATGATTTTTCATTTTGTCTTGCCTATTAATTAATAATCTTACTTACCTTTTTTAAAAAAATTATTATTGTAGTTTTATCTTGTATCCTATTTTTCTTAAAGATTTATTCTTCAATTTTTTGAGATATGACTTTATATAAGGGAAAAGGGTCAAAAATACCCCTCAACTTTGTTTTATTGGTTGACAACGCCCTTACCGTTAAAGTGAAGTTAGTTTTACCCCTACCGTAACTAATTTCACCAAATATACCCCTCATTTGACGGAAAGCCCCAAATCAACTCAAATTGTTCAATTTTAATTAAAATAACCCGATTTTCTCTTTTCATCCCAACCCGACCCACTAAACCTAATGAATTAAGGAAATACCAAATTAAAACACAAACCCATCTCTCTAGTATTCATCTCCTTCATTTTCTTCATATCTAATACAAACCCTCTTCATATCTAATACAAACCCGATTTTCTCTTTTTGTTTCTTTATCTGTAAATAAATCCATGCCCCGACTTCTCTGAATACATTTAACTCATTTCTCTTACCCATTCTCAAAAGAACACTTTACACAAACTATTTCTTAGCTTCCAACCTCAATACTACTGCTTCTTCTTCTTTCAGTTCCTCTTTTTTTTCATTTTATTATTTTATTAGAATTTTTGGGATTGGTTTGATTCTTGATTTCTTCAATCAAACATCTCAGAAATCAGTAGCTCAAATCAATTTCCATGGAAGCTATGCAATTACTTTACTCGCTTGTTTTTATCTTCGCCCTATTTTATCAGTACATGAAAGATCGTCGTCAACGATTCAGGATTATCTCTGCCAATTTCAGGAGGAATTACCCTCCGCCGCTGGAAAATTGTATCAAATGATATTTCAAAATTTGAGTTTGAAAATCACGGAGGTTAAGTGACCATATTCTCGAAAGTATTGGAAAACAAAGGGAATCGGGAAAAATATGTGGGAATCCGTCTTGGTTTCACACACTGCTTCTGTCAAGTTCAAATTTCGAATTCCAAAACCCAGAAATTGTATAACAATAAGGCCATGGATGAAGAAGTGCAGCTCAATTCGATGTGCCGAAAAAGGCAATCGATGGTCCCTTAATGGCATGAATGCCCTTGTCACTGGTGGGCGGTGGCACTAGAGGCATTGGATCCGTAATGCTCCCCTTCTTTACACTTTTCCGACCGTCGGCGGTAAGTGGAACTCGACGAGCTCGCCGTTGATAATCCATGTGCCTGTGCTTGATATATGATATTAGTTAATGGATCTAGTTGTTGTATTTATGAATACTGATTCAGTGATAATGAAAATGTTTTCCTTTTTTGCATAAAAAAAAGGGGGTTTGAAATCTTGTTTTTCAAAAGAACACTAAGCCTGCAAAATCAGATTGAAACAATCTTTGATCTCGTGAATTTACTTCGTTATTTTGGGAGGGGAAATCGGGAAAGTGGTGCTAATAAGGAGGAGAAGACATGAACTAGGGATTTAATTGGTATGAGTTTCTTTAGTATAGCGGGTCAGGTTTGGGTTAAAATAGACAATTGGGTAATTTCAATTGAAATCGGGTTAATTTGAGTTGATTTGGGGCTTTCCGTCAAATGAGGGGTATATTTGGTGAAATTAGCTACGGTAGGGGTAAAACTAACTTCACTTTAACGGTAAAGGCGTAGTCAACCAATAAAACAAAGTTGAGGGGTATTTTTGACCCTTTTCCCTTTATATAATGATAAAAAATAATATAATTTATCCAAACATTATATTTATTAAAATAATAATAATAGTAATGATAATAATAACCATCCAAATAGAGAGGGTACATGTTGATTTTAAGCAAGTAACGTGAAATGCCAATCATTTTTCTCAATTTGGTACGAAATATTCTTATTGAATAGAACATTTATTATTCTAACGTATGCCTATATTCTAAAAAGAAAAAAGAAAAAAAACTTCCAAGTTGTGTGGGTAAACGTTTTCTACAAAATTGTTGGGTGAGTGTTCCAATTGCTTGAATCGATATTCGATACAACAACCCTAAAGAATATACTGATAAGGTCCTCCGTTTAAGGTCAACTTGCGTTTACTGTTATGCCCATACTTGTCTGCTTCTTTATGCTCTTCTCCTTTACCTTATTTTTATCTCAATTACTTAAATCATAGCAATATGAAATGTATGAATTATATATCGATTCATAAAAAATAAAAAACTTCTTAAATTATTCACCATATAGAGTACTAGTTTAATTGTTTTCCCTATGAAATCTGAGTCAACCCATTTACATCGAAAGACTATCTTTGGAGTATTATCTTTGTTCAAATACGACCCTATCGGATAAAGCAAGAACTTCTCATAAAATATGAAGTATTATTTTACTGTATATACAATTTATGAAAATTTAAATTTTAACACTTTTTAAAATTTGTTATAGTGGCTATATAGTTAAGTAAGTAAAGAATGATAAATCGTTTATCAATAGATTAACTAGTATTAGAGCCGTCAAAGTGGGCCTAGCCCATGGGGCCGGCCCAACCCAACTTGTTTTTGGAGTAGGGTTGAGATATGATTTTTCAAGCCCATTTAAATGTAGGGCTTATAAGCTCGGCCCATATAAGCTCTTGGCCCTTGAGGCTTGATCGGGGCTGGATCGGGGTTGGCGCATGGGCCAAAACTTTTTATTTAAGGATAACTTACAATAATCTCACTAATATGTAATCTAATTACTTAAATACACACTATGTTGTAATATTATGAATCTTACCAGATTTTGGTACGTCCAGGTACATATATCTCGAAATATATGGACTCAAAATTAGGTTAATCTATTCTAGATACATTCTATCCAAGTAGATTCACATGTATCTAAGATGCATAGACAAATCTCACACCCTCACCTCCCTCCAATCTTTGTTGTCACTCTCTTATTTCACTCATGTATGTGATATGCGAGATGCATACTAATTACAGTAGACTTTTTGCCAGTGTTATTAAAACAACACCATTATTTTGCAAATTTGATTTGAAAATCTTCTCATTTTCTTGATGTTATAGAATTATAAGTTTGATAAGAAAAAAAAAAGGCTAGTCCGCCCCAGTCCTCAGCCCTTCTAGGGTTCGGTTGGGTTGAGCATTTTCAAGCCCTTCCGAATGAAGGGTCAGCCCGCCCTAACCCTTCAAATTTCTT